GTCTGTCTGTCTGTCTGTCTGTCTGTCTGTCTGTCTGTCTGTCTGTCTGTCTGTCTGTCTGTCTGTCTGTCTGTCTGTCTGTCTCTCCGTGTGTTTGTCGGTCTATCTGTCTGTCTGTCGGCCTGTAAGCAGATTTCGAATACCAAAACCCCGGAACCATTCTCAATGCGGAAAGAACGATTCGCGGAAAATAGGTGCAGAACATTTCGAACTGTGATTTCTTACAGCCATTTTAGTGGAAAAAAATGAGATGTTGAGAAGAAGATACAGATACCTCAGGCTAGGAACGCCAGTCTGGCATTGTTCAATTTCTGTCCTATTATTAGTGACTGGAGTTTTGCTTCCAAACGACCAAGCGCCTTAAATAGTTCCTGCTGAGGAAGTCCTACCCACTGCCTTCGCGTGTCGGAGGTGTTAACACTAAAGTGGGAGGGCAAAGGCGAATGCTCGGCGCTTTCCATCGGGTTGACTGATCACTGGTAGTCAGTCTAGGGGAGTTGGTTAAATCCTGATCCCTAACCACCCACATATGGTGTAAGAAGCTCGTAGTGGCATCAATCTTCGACGCAACCGAATCGGTCTTCAGAGTTAATCTTTCGAGTTGACCACCGTGATGCTCACCGGCAAATGCGCAGCTCAAGGGCAATCTGGGTACCCTGGATAGTAGACCGCATCTGAAAAGCCTATGAACTGGCCCCCCAGTCACCGGCTCTCAGAGGATCGTGGACTCCCTACTCCACCCCACTGCCTTTTGGGTCAGGTTCTTTAACCAAAGGCTCCGGGTAGGGTCCCGCAAGAAAACCCTCTACCTCGGCCTGGGCGACCGGGTGGTACCACGCCCACAAACTAACCATGGACTTATGGACATATACATACACGTATGTTACAGAATATTACACTTCCTCAAAGCTTTCTCTTAAAGTCTGCACGAAACACTTCCACCCACCCCCCACGCCGAACGGTTCCACTGAAGTAGGTTCATGTACCTCACCACTATCCTCCTTGACATCTAACTCGGAGCCGACCGTTCTATTCCTCCGACCTCACTGTGCGGTCAAACTGGTTACGTTCAAGGTTAGAACTATAATGCTTATAGGACAACAAGCAGGTTTGGCTCGTAAGCTCGAAAGTCTAGAGATTGATGCGTGTTACCTCTCGGAAACACGCATCCAGGAACCCTGCTCAGTGGTCCGAGCAACGTCTCCTTCCAACTCAAAAGAAGCATTTCCACTGCGCGTCTCCGGGGTCCCCATCGCTTCAGCGTCTGGTCAAGTAGGCGTTGGTATTGCCTTGAGTGCCAGGGCCAAGGCTAGTCTATTGGGTTGGATCCCGATAGGTAGCCGACTATGCGCAGTGAGACTCAGAGGCTCAAGTAAAGTCAAAAAGCAGAAACCAAATGAACGATGCTTATTCGTGGTTTTTGCATATGCTCCCACAGACTGTAGCCAGGATACAATCAAGGACACCTCTCACAACCTACATGAGCTTCTTCTCAAAGCACCTAAGACGGATATCATGATCCTGGCCGGAGACCGAAATGCACGCGTTGGCCGTCTGTCACCCCATGAGACCCACCTTGGTGGCCGTCATGGCCTCGATAGCTGTCGTTCAGATAATGGGGATAGAGTTCTTAGCATATGCTCAGAACACAGTCTGTTCCTCGTTAACACGAACTTCAGACACACTAAGCGTCACCTCGCCACCTAACGTAACGCCTCCTCGGCACAAACGTGGAATCAGATTGACCATATAGCTATTAACTATAGATGGAGAGGAAGTGTGAAAGACTACCGTTTGTATTAGTCTACCTGTTTGGACTCCAACCACGCACTGGTTTGTGCCAAGTTGTCTATGCGATTTGGTGGCCGCAAAAAGATGCGATGCAAACAGCTCGACGTCGTCAAGCTCCCTGACCCGGACGTGCTAGCCGATTGCCAAAACGAGTTGGCCGCAAGGCTAGCTACTACCCCACCAAGTAGCGTAGATAAACACTGGACAACCATTCAAAATGCAATGCACTCAGCCGGTTTACACAGTTGTGGCCTAACCCGCCGAGTTTTAAATCAATGGGTCTCCTCCAACTCTCTCAGCCTCCTCGACGCGCTTAGCGCAATCCCTGCAGACAGAGAGTACAATGAACAGCGCCTCTCCCTGAAGCGTGAACTCACGAAGAGTTTGAGAGACGACCGAGGGGGCTGATTGACGCCACGTGCAAAGGGGATAGAATCAGCGGTTAGGTGTGAAAACATCCAGCAACTATTCCAGCTCATCCGTGCTACATGCCCCAAAAGATAGGGCGTTAGTGAAACAATCTGCGAAGTAGGCGGCGCGCTAATAAACAGCCTTCACCAAAGATTGGAAAGCTGGGCAGAGCAGTTCACATCGCAGTTCAACCAGCCCCCCGCGCTGGCTACTCCAAGCAGTTATCTTGAGAGTGCACCCGGGCCACTCCACGGGATCGCCCACAGAAGCGGAGATACGAAAGGAACTCCAAGCCCTGAAATGCCATAAGGCAGCTGAATCAGACGGCCTACCACCTGCCCTCTTTAGAGATGGTGGGGAAGCTCCCGTAAGAGAAATTGTGAGAATGTTCTTGAAGATCTGGAAAACTGAAAGTGTACCACACACGAACTTTTTTCTTTCACCATTTTTCATTCGGATAAGCTAGGGTTACTAACCCTTGATTGGTGTCCGATATAATGAGTGTTATCGTGCAAATTCGGGATTATTGGAGAACCGAATCGAAACAGAAAAAATAAACGCTCCACTCACGTGATGATGATGTCCACTGACGAACACGCAAGGAGACTCCACTTTCAGAGCCTAACACAATCAGAATTAGGATGGGATCAATGAGGTATACATACCGCATTCAGTTGGGCGTTTTCGAGCATATTGATTGGTTCATGTGTAGCCAGGACTAGATATCGACCGCTCGATCGCGACAACATAAACGAATGTGTCTGGGCCGGTTTATATGCACCTCTAGGAATCTGAATCACGTGATTTGAGATCCTTCAATCCCGTTCCGTAGGGAACTTACCGCTTTTATCTGGGCGAAATGAATTGGCACGTACTCTGCCTGCTGACCAACACAGTCAATGAATCGTGTCACAGAGAATGGATCTGTTGGTCCACCTTCCACTAGATCGACATCGTTATCACCGGGGATAAGTAAGTACTGCAAAAACGAACAAACCGAATCGCAGATACAGTCAGACTGAATTTAGCTCCCACATACCGGTAGAGAATGTCGACCGAAATAAATCCGACGAAATCGTTTGCAAGTTTGATCGAACTCGCTCGGATAGGCCTCGAACCCGCGATCGAACAGGTCACCGAGGATAAGAAATCCATTTGGTTTTATTCGTGTCAAAGCTTGCTGGAAATACGTTTCAAGATAACTGCGGCAGATTTTAAAAAAAATGATATTTTCTTTTTATACTGTACACCTACCGATCGCTATCCCATTGTAGTATGTAGTTTAACCAGAATAAATCCGGTTTATAACCTTCCACGTGGGGATCGGCGATCAGAAGTAGACGTGTTTCCCTGTCGTCTGGTCTGTGGGAAAGGAAAATCGGATAGTTCGCCTTGTGATACAACACGTGAAATCACAACGCAAATCGATCAAAATAGTGACAAAATAAAAACAGCTAAATATACACCGAGAGTGATGTGTCTCTGACTAGGGTTTTAGGAAAAACTTTTGTGTGTGTGTGTGCAAAGTTTGTTCCATAATGCTAAAAGGAGCCCCTGAAAGTCTCGGGTATGGTCCAGAAAGTGAGAAGACAATATCCCAGACTATATTCTGGTTCGTAAATCACTGGCAGTTCACCAGGGGTAGAGCTGGCTGCAAACCCTAAGTCCAACCAACAAACCACCCCGACCAAACCCTTCCAGGTTGTGGTAGTGGTTGCCGATTCAATCGTCCATCGTGGTATATTGGGTACCGTGGATGTTTGACTTCGTCCAATTTCGGTGTTCCGTTACCTCACGAGTCAGACATTCGGCTAACCAATGAATGCGGTTGTCGAATTTAAGATAAAATTCACTTGTTTTGCCTTGGAGAACCTGGCAACATTCTGAACACAATTCATAGACAATTTTCTGTTATTCTACTTTGATTTAGGTGGTAAACAGTCTTTACTCAGAATCGTGAGAAGTATCTGTACAATGCAATTGCTCCATCGTTTCACATCATCTTATCCCTTTGGCCCATGGCTTTAAACAATTAAATTTACCCTAACCACATTCTGCGGTCTCAAGGGATCATTTTCCGCGATTTGCGCAACCTCAACCCGACTCGAGACTATCCAATTACCGGCTCGCAATGTTTGTGTGCTCTTACTGTCACCTGTAATTCGGTAGCCTGATGATGGCACTCCTGCTGAGAATAGTCGAAGTTCACTGGGTATGCAAAAAAGACTCGTGGATGTTAACAATGTGTGGGTTCTCGCTCGGGTTAGCTGGGTAAGCATCACTTCCCTTATTGCAGCTGCACCATCCGAGACCAATCGACGTACTCCATCGATCGTGTAACTCAACCAAACTGCCCTGGAAACACACGACTGTGTGGTTCTTACCGCTCGTCAGGCCCGCGTGTCCGATACCCTTCTGCCACTTCATTCACTCCACTGCACAATAATGATATCAAAGAATAGAGTAGTTGAGGCAAAACCAGAGTGAATTTAAGTCTCAGTTGATTGAACCCTACTGAATCGTTGAGACGTACACCGCACAGTCGGCCAAAATTGGAACCCATTCGGGATGTGAACGCGCAGCCTTATCACTTAGCGCAATCCCAACACCAGCAACAACACCACAAGCCTCGAATATCGAATCATCTGATATAAGAAAGACGAGGTGTGAGAATGAAGTTGGGTCAGAAAACGCAGAAATACCATTGAAGTAGATTATTGTATGAGAATTTTAAGGGTTCTAGTTGAGGTAGCTTGTTGACCGATCCGGTAGAGTGTGCAGACGTTGAACACGGCTAAGTGAAAATGGAATTTTGGTTTCCGAAATCCCATAACTTCAGATTGTTTGCGTTTTTAGTGGTGGTTATACTGCACCATAATCATTGGTTTTTGACCTAGTTATGATTGTGCGGTTGACTGCGATCAGTAGGTACTGATCGATTTTCCTCGGCTATATCAGAATAACAGTGGTAACGGTGACTAAAGTTATGCTTGTCCTCATGATCAGTCTTGCTGTAACCCGATAACATGTCTTACCACTCTCACTACCCAAATAATGGTGTCATTTTTTTATACCAGTCGATAACGGATCAACTAGCTGTGACTGATTTAACTAAGAATCTCAGTCAACAAAGTTTTATGTTTGCATGGGCGTGCGCTCGAAACTTGATAGCTCTAATTCGACAACGGCGTCTGTAATCATAACAATTGTAGTTCTCTTGCGATACTCAACACTTGACTAATATGAATAAACAAAACTAAGCTTGGGTAAAAGTCAGCTAGTTTGGTACCAATTAAAATAGGATTTAGGTGCGTATTAGCACACTTACTCGGAATCGAACTTCGGCCATAAAGACAAGCTCAGCTGGGGTTGAAGAATCTCACCGACAATGAAGCTCAAAATCAATGGAACACCGACTCGGTAGATCTGTTTTCGGATGAACATCGCGGTTCGGCACAGTTGGTTGTTCGCTGTTCGTCCGCCTCGCGATGTCCTGGATGCGGATAAACAAAGCGGGTGTGAGACAAAGGTTCAACTGAAATGGCTTCTTTCACGAACGAGGCAAACTTGACCGGTCTGTCAAATACGATTTAAAAAACAAGTATGCGACGCCATGACACAATTTGAAATTCGAATAGCTGACGCAAATCGCATGGAGCTGTGACCAAGCCGCAGCTGAATGCGGTTAGAACTCTTAAGCGCACATGCGTTGTCATGGCACTGATCGTGAGGCCCTGGATTCCATTTTCCAGTCTACGATGTGGCCCAATTGTTAACTATGGACGATTGTTGTGAACGTTATAGTGTTAATAACACAGCGATGTCGGTAGAGAATTATATTCACCTTAGGCAAATATAATTCTCTATCGATATCGCTGTGTTATTAACACTATTACATTCACAATAAAAACGACACCTGGCGCATCGATTTTTCGATACACTCCTATGGACGATTGTAAAGCGAGAAAGTTAGACATTTGAAAGTCAATGTCGAATAAAAGACTTGGGAAAAGGAGTTCGGTCGAAGAGACGGACAATCGGTCACAACGAACAGCACACACTCACATTGGTGACTGATATGAAATCGGTGCACCCATGCAATGAACCGGAGGTCCATAATGAATTTGAAAATCTCCGTATTGAGGATAAATCTGTGCAGCACACCATAAATTCAGTGCTGTAAACTGATACCAAACACCCCTGATCGACAACAACTAACAGCCGTGCCGAGTGCTCCGCATAGGCTGAAAGACGCTACAGATTGATTGAAATATGAGATAGTTTTTTTTCAATGCTGAGAACAAGTTTGAATCTTATGCTTCTGATCTTTTTTCCGCTGTTTGTACCGCTTTCATAGAGAAATGGAACAGCACGGTTTCAAGGCGCTCAGCGATGGTTCACCTGCAATCTTGGCAACGTTCTCGTGATAGCGAAAAACGTACCTGGTTATTCGGGATGGTGCTCCGACTTATATGCCCTACGCGGATCCGTTCATACTTTCTCACTGTTCTGAGTTTCAGAATATCGTGACGAATCCAGCGGCGATACAGGACAATTTCGTTGTACATGCTTGTTATAGCCGAAAACACCGTGGCTTTTGTACATACCCATTATGGTAGTGAATCAATTTGTACATATTCAACAGTGAAACCCATTCGAGAACCCTTGGAATATAATTACAAGTAAACTATATGCATATGAACGTTAGTTTCAGACCGAGGAAGAGTTAACCAGACTATCAATCGATATTTCAAATGATTCGCATAAAACGCTGCTCAAATCAATTGTCAAAATTACGTCTTACTAAGATACACATATGCGTGTTCAAGTGGATTGGATCAGCGATCCTCTCGTTTAGGCAGTTGCTCTGCGACGCACTTGACGGTGGTCATTCGTTATCGCACATTAATTTTATGGTTGACCCGTCGCATATCGGTTGCCTCAATGTCCAAAGTAGAACTGTGTCCGTTACAACGTGTTCCGTTGTTTTGTTTTCTTAAAGTTTCTATCGAAAAGGGATTTCACTATCATACAGTACATAGAAAAAACCGGCAAAAACAACACCAGGTCCCAGTTCGCGTTCCCTTGTAGCAGGTGCACAGTATAAGATGACTTGCAATTGAGACTTTACAATTCACCAAATACTTTTAGTTGAAAGTTCATCCCATTTTCTTTATATAAGCCATAAAAAGGCTAGTCTATGTGGTTCAGGTTCTAAACAAGTTAGGAGGATTCCAATCACCTGGTTACAGGCGTCCTTACGGAGACTCAGAAGCCCAAAATGTGAATCTCACCAAGGTGACAAATCCCGCATTTTGTTTATAAATAATGGGTAAATGAAAAAACTCTTGCAACTAGGATGCTCCGATCACACTGGATGGGATCTGATTGATTCAAATGTCTCGCTTCAAAATAACACTCTTCTTCTGTATCCGTTTGAACGCAGTAATCAATACCAAACCGAAAAGATCTAAGATGCTGTCTGGGACACGCCATTCTCTACTTTTAGGT